GCTTCCGGTACTGTTCACTTTAACAAAAAACCACATTTTTACACTAAAAAGTCAATCTTGGTACTATTCACTTTACCCTTTATTTTGTTCTTATCGTTAAAAATCAAAGTTTTGAAGCCCTTTTCATTAGTTTTCCTAATTTAAAAAGGGCTATTTTTAATTTCATTAATGATGTTGTAGGTTAACAGAATGTGGCCATGATTAGAACCATAAATTGGATAATTATGAAGATTGTAATTAGAGGACTTAGTTAGCCAGTAAAAGTTAGCAATACCTTGATCAAGTTTTTCATAGATTCTAGTACCGTTAGAGTGATCGTTACACCAAGCATAAGGAACTCTCATCACATTCAACGAAATGAGGTTTCCCTTATTCAAGAAGTTAATAAAATTGTTCATGTAAGTCATCGTACTTTGACAACCTCCTCTTTGTTTTTTTTTTTTTGACACATCCACAATATTATTGGAATCACCAATAAGCATAACCCACCAACCCTTTAAGTGGGATTACAACAAAACACCATATCAAAAACCCTGTCATAGAAGTTCCTTGGGATCTTATCCAAATTCATTTTAGCTTCACATAAACAAAAAAGGTACAATACTTCCTTCATGAGTCACTACATTTTGGTGATTAAGCATACAAATACCAGTAAACATATTTAGGCGAGTCAAGTTCCAGCCCTTAGTCAATTGAATCAAAACCAATAACCCTACTCAATTGTCGTTTAATACTCTCAACCATATAGAACCCTAAACACCACAAGGTACACACCTCCCACAATCAGTCAAATTGAAAGACTTATGCACAAGTAGATTGCAGACATCTAAATAACCTGCAAATCCAGAAAGGGCTCATTGCCGACGATTTTCGAAAGCTCAATGGTAGGTTCATGAATAATCCTCTTCGAACTTATGATCGGAGACCATTTAATCCCTTTATTGAACAAAGTCTTTATCTATATATAGGAGCACACACTTTGTGTGTGTGAATAATTTCTCTTAATAAGTGCATATTTTTTCTAATATTACATAATTATTGTTTTGTCCTTCTTATGTAAATATTGTGTATCAAAAGTGAGGGTAAAATTGAAAAAATAAGTATATGATTGTCATTTTATGAAGAAAAAAAAGGGTAAAATAGGAAAAATAGGGATATGATTGTCATTTTGTCAAAAGATACAAAATTACTATTTTGCCCTTCTTTTGTCAATAGTGTGTATTAAAAGTGAGGGCAAAATAGGGAAAAAAGGGGAAAAAGTTGACAATGAGGGTTCTCTTAATAGCATAGACTAGCATATGGGCACACACAAAGTGTGTGAGAAATTTTTTTTATTTTTGTTTTGAAATAGAAGGAGAGAGGAAGAGAGTGATAGAAAATGTGGGAATGGAATTTTTTTTTTTTTTAATTAGAGATATGTTAGGATTACATGTAGTTGAGGCTTTGAAAAAAAAACAGTAAAATTTGATTGTGTGAAGTTACATTTCTGCCTCATATTTCTTATTCATGTTCTATTTTAATTAAAAGGTTAAACTGGTAATTTCATAAGATTTTTGTTGACAAATGAGTATTTTATTAATTAGTAGAGATTCTCTTAATAGTATAGATAGATAAAAGGAGAAACCTAAATAGGTGAAGCATTTCAAAATGCCAAAAAAGCCCCTTTGTTTTCTTCACAATCAAACCCAAAAAAAAAAAAAAAACAGAAAATAAGGACAAACTGGTAAAAAAAACCAAAATGCATCATCCCAAAGGGTAGTTTGATAAAAGCAATTATTGAGTTGAGTTGAGATATAATCTGAAACACACTATAACACGTTCTCACTCTTTCACAACTACCACAGCACGTTCCCACTCTTTCACAACTGCCCGTGCCAGTTACAGTTTGAATCAAACTCCATTCCTCCCTCTTAGCCTGTGGCCAGCATAAAGCTCATCCATTTTCTTCCTCCATTAGTTCTTTAATCATTTCACGTATTCAAATATTATTTTTGTTTTCCTTTTTTTTTTTTTTATTTATTTGGGAAGTTTTTTTAGTCCACTAGATTCTTCTATTGCTACTCAATTCCGAGATCTGATCGTGCTTTTTTGAATTGTAGCATAAAGAGGTGATGAGGCTTTCAACCCATTTACAAAGGATCCCAATGCTATTGGGTGTTTGAGTGGTATTTTCGTTTCTATTGTCGCTGTCTTTTTTATCATATATTCTTTTGTGTTATTATTTTGGAATATTTTGTATGTTGTCACCGGATTCAGCATAACAAGGTTTGTCACACTCAAAATTGCAGGTTAGTATTCATATGTAAACAAATAAACTCCATGTTTGTCCCTTTGCAAAGCAATATTGCATAAGTTTGGATTTATTTCCAACTCAATTTTTCATAAACGGTTGTTACTCATAATTGCCCCTCATATTCATCTACCAGACTACCACACAGGAATACGAACTCATGAAGAGAACAAAGGCTTTAAATTTTTAAATCTATGCTGTTGGTTTCTTAAGTTATTTATTTTGGATTTTTACTTTTATATTTCTCTCTCCTTCCCACTCCTTCATTGTTTAGCATTCCTGGGAACTTGACACCAAGGCACCTATGTGGCAGGATCCATTATACTTCCCCGGTAGCCCACATCCCTCTCCTCTTACGAGGACATTCAAATCGAGGGCTCAATACATTAGCTTTCAGCTTGACAACAGGTCTCTGCCATCTGAAACTGTGAATAATTCCCCTTCCAAAGAGTTTCCAACCCTATAAATCCCACGGCTACATTACCATCACGTGTAATGGAATGAAGAATACCTGCTGGTGAGTGATACTTTCTTCAAGCGTACCCAATCACCAACTTCCAAGCCAAAAGTGACCTGCTTAATATTCCTTAATTTTCCTTAATTTGATATAAATAGTGCCTGCTTAATTTTCCTTAATTTTCTTGCTAATTCTTTGGTTTAATTTTCATTTCTTGATAACTTTTCACTTTTGGTTCGCAGGACGTGACATCCTCAAAGTCTTAATGATAATATCAATCATGCTTTTACTTAAAGACTTTGTAGAACATCTTTTGTTTTGTTCGGGTTTCATTCCTTTAAATTTTTTGTTAAGTTGTTATTCAATGATGAAAATAGGATTGTCATACATGTTTGGTATTCATTTCACAACTTCGCTGATGTTCACTGAACTATTTTTTTGTACATGCATCATGTTTTTTCAAGAACAAAAGTACGAAAATTTGACAAGAGGTCTGTTGTAACTGTAATTGCTGCTCATATTTATAGTCGTATGTTTTTTTGCTACCTCTGATTCCTATTACTCGATTTCTCTCCCAAAACATGTAATTATGTAATGTTGTAATACAATAACATATTTATTCTATTATTGTTTTCACTAATATGGTTATGCGGCTTATGCTTTTTCCTTTGCATATTTACGAAGAAGGATTGAGGCGCTGAGGGATCACATGAGGCTCTAGAAGTATTACTTCAATGTATTCCTAGGAAAGTAGTGAATCTCATTTCATAATTTCATTTTGGGCATAAATTTATCTTTGTAGACTATTTAATGACAAAAGTTGTTCATTGTAGCTTGAATTTGTTACAATTAAAATCAAATTCATTCACAAAGATAAATTCAGTATATACTTATAGAAGCTTTGCATTACAAAGAAATATTCAACGAGATAACCTCAAACAAATATGGGGATAAATTCCATAACTTTTATTATCATCCACCTTCTTTCATTTAGGAAGACATGTTAGCTAAAGAAACAAAGAGATTGATAATCAAGAAGTTTAACATGTAGCAGAGTTTACTATCAAGTATCAACTAACTCAACATATTTTTAGAAGCGCGTATCGCTCGTGATTAAGAAAAAAAGCCTCTCGCGCATGTGGAGAGGCTAGTTTTCTCTAAATACTCCTAATTTATTTCCTTTCCCCATTCAATCTTACGCATAAACCCTAGAGCCCCCCATTCTTTCTACTGACATTACATACTAAATTCGTGAACTCGAGGGGTTAGTATATTAGAAAGCAAACAAAGATTTAGACATTCAATTTGAGTTTTACCTTCTACGCATATATTTATTGGTTTATCAACACTATTTTAGCAGTTGATATGAGTGCTAAAAATATGATGCAGTCTCAAGTGGTGTAGGGTTACATAGAGAGAAAAATTAGTCTGTCATCAATTGTGGTGGAATATCTTCTATATATATATTTTTTTGAGTACATCAATATTTTTATATTAAGGAGAAGGAAAGTTCGGTTAAACCACATAATAGGCAATCTAATTTGGTATTGAATTCATCATCCATGTGATTCGAATCTAAGACCTCTTACTTCCAAGTGAATAGGAATATCACCAGACCGTAGTACTAAGTGACGGAATACCTTCTATATTAAATTTGTCAATTTGATTTTCAATTCATTTTTTGTCCTTTTCTACTAAATGTTGAAAATCTAGCCACTTAGTACTACGATTCAGTGATATTCTTATTCACTTGTAAGTGATAGATTTTAGATTCGATTTCTCACCAAAAATGAATTTGAACCACATTAGTGCTAGTTCATTGTGAGGCTAGTGCAGATAGTTAAAAAAGAAATTGTTGAAAATCCAAATTAAATAAGATTTTACCAAATTGATGACGTGGAAAGTTGACTCTAGTTAGCTTTTATGGAAGAGTGGGATCCCGTCTCGCACGTCGCATTCCCAAAAGTAAATTGAATTTTAATTCACAATTTGTGCCGCTAATCCGAGAATTAAAAGGCGGCTTAATTACCATACCCTCTTAAACGACGTCGCCTCTCCTATCGTACAAAAGCTCACCCAACTCAGTCCAACGAGTAAAAAGCTCACCCAACGCACAGGACAAAGGCATCCAAAAAGCACAGAGAGGAGAGAGAGGAAGAAGATAGAACTTCGAGAAAGCCAGAGAGAGAGTGAGTGAGGAGAGAGAAAGTTCAAGAAAAAGCCGAGGAGTGGGAGATCAAAAGGTGCTGAGAGAATCTAGGGTTTCGTTTCGTGGTACTGAACCGGTGATCCGACGTCGTAATGGCGTCTCCACAGTCGGAACCCTTCGGGAGGACGCCGAGTTCCGGCAGAGCTCTCTCAATAACTCCGGGCTCTAGGATTTTGCAGAGCCCTGGCCCCGTAAGTGATGAAACGATCTGGAAGCACCTTAAAGAAGCCGGCTTTGACGAAGAATCGATTAAGCGGAGGGACAAGGCGGCGCTCATCACGTATATTGCGAAGCTTGAAGCCGAGGTTGCTTTCTCAACTCTGTAAAATTTTGAATTTTGTGTTTTGAAACTTGAATTTTTGAATTCTACTCTCTAATTCCAACCTTGGGTATTTTGTTTAGTTGAATTTTTTGGATATAGTTTGTGGGAGGTGTGTATTGGCCGAATGTAGGATTTGGAACTTGACGGAATTCAAATTTTTTTAATTTTAAATAAGGAATACAATTTGCCCAAATAGGAGGTTGAGTTCAATTTTTTATATAGATGAATTTCTTGTTAGTTTCTCTGTTTGATTCGATTTGATTCTATGGCTGGTAGAGGTTGGAGATAGATAAATGAAATAGTTAAAAAAAAAAAAAACTTATATCCTTTCTAGTGAGTTTTGATTTGTCTCAGAAAATGAATATCGTAATAGAATGTGCTCGGACATGTTGGTATGTATACAATGAGTCCTGATAAGAAAACTATTCTATTTGATCCGAAGAAGAAATGACATAAGTCCGTGGCTTCTATCGATATCAATTTCTATCATTTTTTACTTGGACCACAGAAAACCATTATAATGAATGGATCAGAATTTTTTTTTTTTTTTTTTCTAGGAAAGTATGTATTCTACATTGACTCTTTTTTGTGGTATTACTTTTGGTGTTGGGGATGTTCTTTAATTTTTTTTTTTTTTTTTGAAGAGAGAAACTTGAATATGTTGTTCATATATTTTTGTGTGTGGTAGAAATTTTTCTTTTTGTTGTTTTGCTGACCAGTTTAGTTTAATTTAGATTTTCGACCACCAACACCACATGGGCCTTCTCATATTGGAAAGAAAGGAGTTGGCATCCAATTATGATCAAATTAAAGCCTCTGCCGAGACAGCTGAACTTCTGCATAAGCGTGATCAAGCTGCACATTTATCTGCTTTGGCTGATGCAAGGAAACGGGAGGAGTGCCTAAAAAAGACAGTAGGGGTCAAGGAAGAGTGTATAGCTAGTGTAAGCTTTCAACTGAGAATCTTTATGGTAACCATCTCCTTTATTTGCATGTGATGATAACATGTTCTTGCATGGAAATGTAGATTGAGAAGGCGATGCATGAGCTGCGTGCAGAATCTGCTGAAACAAAGGTTGCAGCTGACTGTAAATTGGCTGAAGCACGAAATATGGTGGAGGAGGCTCAGAAGAAATTCACTGATGCTGAGGGAAAGCTGCATGCAGCAGAATCTTTGCAAGCAGAAGCTTGTCGCTTTCACCATATAGCTGAAAGAAAGATGCAAGAAGTCGAAGCTCGTGAAGATGATCTTAGGAGGAACATTCTGGCCTTCAAGACGGAGTATGTGTTTAAGTTATTTTTAAAATAATGATTAACTTGTTCTCAATCTTAGAATCTGTCAGCTTTACCATCACCTGTCAGATAAATACACTTCAGACAAATTCTCATTTGTGGGGCTTGAATGAGGGACAAGTGAGGAAAAATGCATCAAGGGATGGATTCACTTAAAATGAATTATTAATTCAGTAGTTGTATTAAATCTTGCCATTAAATGCATTGTCCCCCACCTATCCCTCAATGTAGGTCCTTTAGGTGACTGCTGTTCAAGGCAGGCTAGCTCAATACACGATTTCTGTGTATTCTATGCATAACATCAGTAGAAATTTTTTTTTGGGACTTTATTGATTTTGATTTTCTTTTGATTTTGTAGTTGCGAAACAAAAGAGAAAGAGATAAGCCTTGAGAGACAATCTTTAAGTGAAAGGCAGAAATCCATGCAGCAAGAACAAGACAGATTACTTGATGCACAAGCTCTGCTTAACCAAAGGGAGGATTTCATATTTGGTCGATCTCAGGAACTGAATCGACTTGAAAAAGAGTTAGAAGACGTAAAAGCAAATATTGAGAAGGAGCGTAGAGCCCTAAATGATGGGAAATTGAATCTGGATCTGACTGAGGCTTCCCTTGTTAATAGAGAGGAGGTTCACATTTTTAAATTCTTTTCCCAATCCGAATGTTATTTGTTTATTGAAATCTTCACTAATGTGATTCTGTTTTGATTGATTGCAGGCTTTGACTGGAAGAGAAGCTCTTTTGAACAAAAAAGAGCAAGAGATACTTGCTTTGCAGGAAAAACTTGTGAGCAAGGAATCTGTGAGTAATTTAATAGTCTATTTCCTGTTAAATTTGTTCTGATGTTGACTTAATATCTGTTAATTCTTTCTTAACCTCAGTCTTATATGGATGGTCCAGGATGTGATTAAGAAAGCCATAGCAAGTCACGAAGCTGATTTGAGGAAAAAGAAATCTGAATTTGAAACGGAGCTGGACATCAAGCGGAAATCATTCGAAGATGAAATTGAGGCCAAGAGACGGGCTTGGGAGTTGAGGGAGGTGGATCTCAATCAACGGGATGACCTACTGCGTGAAAGGGAGCATGAATTGGAAGTTCAATTGAGGGCATTGGTGGATAGGGAGAAAGAAGTGACAGGCATGTCAAGTCTTGTTGGCGAGAAAGAAAAAACTTTAAGAGAGGCTGAGAAGGAGTTTGAGATGAATAGTGGTATTTTGCAAAGAGAAAAGGAAGAAATTATCAAAATGAAGCTAGAACTTCAAAGCTCCTTGGATTCACTTGAAGAAAAAAGGAAACAACTTGATTGTGCTAGGGAGAGGTTTGAGCTTTTGAAATCTGAAACAAGTGAGCTATCGGATCTTGAGATGAAGCTTAAAGAAGAAATAGATTTAATCAGGGCTCAAAAGCTAGAGTTGATGGCGGAGGCAGATGAATTGGCTATAGAGAAAGCCAAGTTTGAATCTGAGTGGGAATTGATTGATGAAAAGAGAGAAGAACTGCGTAAGGAAGCGGAGCGTGTATCAGAGGAGAGGTTGGCGTTCTCAAAATTTATCAAGGATGAGCATGACAACCTGAGGCGGGAGAAGGATGAAATGCGAGATCAGCACAAACGGGATGTGGAATCACTTGTTAGTGAGCGGGAGGACTTCATGAGTAAGATGGTCCATGAGCGTACTGAGTGGTTCAGTAAGATGCAGAAGGAGCGTGAAGATTTCTTACTGGAAATTGAGATACGGAAGGGAGAGTTGGAGAACTGTATAGATAAAAAACATGAAGAGTTGGAATGTTCATTGAAGGAAAAGGAGACTGCCTTTGAGCAAGAAAAGAAAAATGAAGTTCAAAATATCAGCTCCCTTAAGGAAGAAGCAGCAAAAGAGAGAGAGCAGGTTGCTCTAGAAAGGAAAAAGCTCGAGTCTGAGAGAATAGAGATAAATTTGGATCGTGAGCGAAGGGATCGTGAATGGGCAGAGCTAAATAATTCGATTGAGGAACTGAAGGTTCAGAGGGAGAAACTAAAAGAACAGAGGGAATTATTGCATGCTGATAGAGAAGAGATTCTTGGTCATATCCAACACCTGAAGGAACTGGAACATTTGAAGGCTGCTTTAGATAGTGCATCTGTGGCTGAGATGCAACAATCTAATTTGGGGCCTCGCAGCCGGAAAACTTCTAGACGATATTTGAAGCAGACAACTTCTGTACGAGACACCGATGTTAATTCACATCATGAAGTAAACGCTGCCAACATTAGCAACCCATCCATGCTAAAGACAGGGTTGTCTCCTTCCAGTTCTGCTCGTTTCTCGTGGTTAAGACGTTGCACGGAATTGTTCTCTAAAAACTCTTCTGAGAAGCAACAATTGGAATTTGAAGAAAGCCATGAGATTTCTCAGGGAAAAACAAACTTGACGGTAACTGAACAGGTAGAAACATCAAGTAAATATGATGGGCATGGGCACATGGGAAATGGCAGTTCACCTGCATTTTCCAGCAAGAGACAGAGTGCATTGGGTGGACCAACGGTTATTGTTGAAGTTCCCTTTGTTGGTGACATTGCAAATGGAACAAAGGATTCTGAAATTAAGGAAGTTGATGGTGAAAGTTGTGACCCTGTAGTCTCTGAACAAGTCTTCAAGGGAGGAAGAAAAAGAAGAGTGGACAAATCATCATCCAATGGCTGTTTTGATCCAGTACTTGAGCCTAGGCAGAATGTTAAGAAAAGGAGGCAACAGCAGGATGCCATTGTGAACTCCTCAGAACATGCCATTAGCCACTGGTATAACACTTAAACTCTTTACTGTCTTTTGCCAGTATCTCTGGTAAAAGTACCTTAATAATTCATCATTTCATCTACTTCAATTGTTTGAGAAAATTTAAACTGAGTCATGTATGTATTTTGGCTTCAGTGTTGCATCAACTCAGGAAAAAGTGCTAGAGGATCAGCATGTATCAGTGCTATCTGATCAATTTCGTGAAGGTGCTGAAGAGGGTAGTGTTTTAATAGTAGATAAAGTCACAAAGGTTACTGAAGTGATTTTTGAGGAGAGTGTAACTGGCACTCTTTCCCATGAAGACAAATTCGAGGCACAGAATTCTGTCGTGGAAACACACCATGTAAAGAATGGTGTCTTACCTTGTGACACTAGGGCTCAGTAAAAGAGATACAAGAATTGAACTTGGGGGATGCTGGACAAGTTGTTGACCACTGCCAGGTATTATTTAATTATGCCTGCTCTGATGTTTTTCCTTGCGGATGCAAAACATTAAATTCTGCTTCTTAATCATATAATGTCTTTGCATGGGATGCTTTGTGTGATAATTATGTTTGCATATATTGCAATTTGAAGTGTTTACGTTGCTAGCATCAACAGAAAGGACATGGAATTGATTGTGTCAGTTAAGTTAACAATAAGCAGGATTTTGTTGCCCCCACTGATTTGAACTTTCTTGAAGGCCTCTACTGAAATCATGATTATGTGTTTCTTATTATTTTTTGAAGTTGTGCTTTTGATTGTTTAACATCAATAATTTTTTATTTGGATTATATCAATTAATCAATTGATAGGATTGGTATAAAACCGGATTTTGGTTTATAAAAAGGTATTTTGTTCTGGTAATGCTTTGGAGTTGCTTGATATCCAGATAACATTTTTTCATTCTATGCAGTTATTATTGTTTGAGACATATTTGGATTCTTCAATGGTTCCTATAAATTTGCTGTGAAAAGTATGCATAAATTATGGGATCTGATGGAGTGTGCGGATATCTCTCAGAAGACTATCTTACTGGAAGGAATAGTTAGTTTTAATTTCTCTGTGATTGTCATTCCAGACCCCATTTCCCCAATAAAGTTTGTCGGTTACCCGTATTATGTTAAGGCACAAAATCTCTGTATTAAAGTGCGGTAATTTTGTTGTTTTGCTTGATGTCAATTATTGCTTGTGATGTTTAATCACTTTCGTTATGGCGGAAGGAAAATCTATTTTCTATAAATTTTGATTTTATAAATTCTATTGGAATCTGAGCAGAGCTGCAATTTTTGTTCCATACCATTATTTGCAGAGATATTATGCCCTGCATTGAATGGTTGTTTCCCAGCCCTCTAAAATTTAGTCTAGTTGTACTGGAGTCAAATTCATGATAGTTTATGAGTTGGCTAAAATAGTTTTAGACAAAAATCTTTGGAACTATGCAGTTCCGTTCGACCTGCGCATACCATGCATCTTCTATTTATGAAATTGTACCGCTGCTTCTGTACTCTTTATTTTCTCGCGGTTATGGCTTTGAAACTAATGAATGCGTTGATATGCAGATTCAAGAGGAAGATAACCAAAAAGAATTTGCAGTCCGAGTGAGATGATATTGGAAAAGTGTGTACAGAAGCTTAGATATGAAGAGACAAATCAGAAGGCTTACATAGTAAAAAGAGAGTAGTGGTAGAACTTTGGTTGTTGATAGTGTACTGTAGTTTGTTTCCTGGATGGTGAAATAGATGCAGACAGCGTACTTTTCGTGCCACCCCTACTGGTTATCGCTTTTTGAATTTCATTAAGGTGCGTGTAAGTAATGCGAAGTGGTTCTTGCTGATTGGATCTAGTTTGGAGTGGGACAATTTGTGAATGTTTGGTTCGTCCGGTATGATATTCGTTTCCCTTTTGTTTTCCTTTTGGTGTTGGTGCGTCAAGGGAGACGTGGAGTTTAGTGTGGCATGTCATTTGTAAGATATAGGACCTTATTTTGTTTGATGATCAAGGGATTTGTCTGGTTGTTGCTGCTACACTTCGAGAGGGCAACTATATTTTAAGTTGCAGTACCATTTGTAAACAGTATGTGATTTGCCAAGCGTTAATTAATCTTAGTTGAGTAAGTTAATTATCGTAGCAGCTAATTCTGCCGATTATCTGTATTTAATTACTTGGTTTATGACTAGGGTTTAGTTTTGGAGTTTATTTTCATGGTTTGGATAAGGACGGAACGGTCCTAGAATTATTCACAAACTCATTTTTATTTTCTATGCATTTTTTTAATTTTCGATCGTTTTTTATTGAATGATTGAAAATGATAAGAGAACGCAAATTGACAAGGCGACTATGCTTTAGAGATGGAGTTAACCAACATAGACGTTTCATTAAACATGAAAAATGGCTTACAACGCCCATCAACCATTTTGGACCCCTGTTTCCATTTACCCATTATTCTTATTGAATTTAGACAACCGGCCTATTTGCCAAATTTCTCCACTTGTTCCCCTTCCAAACCCAACCCAACCCAAGCTAAATTTTTGGGCTAAAAGCCAAATGCCAACCCAAGGCCAAATGCTCCCCAAAGAAATAGCCCAGAAACGCGTGGACTCGCCCAAAGAGAGCCCACTCTCAGCCTGATCACGCACCCAACTCGCCCCATGCAGGCTGAGGCCTTCAGCGCCTGACAGGGTGGGACCCACTGTTAGGGCCGCTATCAGCCACCATCATGAGCCTAACAGCTCGTTTTATCATCCGACGACTAGGCTTTTTGGACCGTTCGATTCCAACGGTCCAAATTCAATTTTTTTTTAAATGTAATTTTAAAATACATTGAATCCAACGGCTAAGATCGAATATAATCAAATCTAATAGTAAAAAAAAGATCTAACGGCCCAAATTTAAATCCAATGGCTAAAATAATAAAAAAAAATTATTTAACTCAAAATTCACCCAAAAACTCTACAAATACCTATGTATTTGTTCAAACATCCACATAAAACTAAAATTTCTCCTACAATTCTTCCAATTTTTCTTTCTACCATTTCTTTCCATTTCCAAATTGTTCAACATGCCAAGAGAGCATATTAGAGGTCGTAATTGGACTTGTAAAGAAATGTTGCTTTATGCTTAGCATGGGTTTTTGTTAGCAAAGATGGTGCAATTGGCACAAATCAAAATAAAAAGCTTTTGTGGAATAAAATCATTGAAAAGTTTCATGAAAACTACAACGACGGCAGGAGGGACAGTGGTGGTTTTTATGATTGGTGGAAGACTATCAACAAAGCATGCACTTTATGGAAGGGAAGCTTGGAGAAAGCCGTGGTTGGCATGGCTAGTGGAAGGAGCGCCGCATAAATTGTGAGTTTTTTTGTTGATATTTTATTTGTCTATGTACATAATATTATTTTGCAACTAATTGTTTTTTATGTATTGTTTGCATAGGGTGACAAAGCAATGGAAATTTACAAGACAAGAGTAACACCAAAAAGTCAAGTTTTTAAGTTGCAACATGCTTGGGACGTCCTTAAGGATTGTCCGAGGTGGGGAACCGATGCGGACCAACAATGGGGAAGATTATTTCAACGTGAAGCCACATCGACAAATGCTGGAGATGAAGGTGTCAATGAAGGTGTCGATGAAGGTGTCAATGTGCCCTTGGGAAGAGATAAGCAAAAGGAAGCAAAAAGAAAAGGGAAGTCCCAAGATCCGATGAGTGGACACATTGCTACCAGAATTGCAAGATTGAGCAAAACCCATAGCGCCAGCCAAGAAGAAGCAGCATGAGTGCGTTTGCAAATAAAGGAAGAAGGGGATAGGGAGCAAGATAGGTTTGAAATTAATTTCATGATGGAGGACCTCAACAAATACATTCCAGAGAGGAAGAAGTTCTTACGTGGTAAGCAAAAGGAAATATTGCGAAAGTATGCCACAATGAGTATATTTCAAGATGATGAATCATCTCAACCCTATATCCCAAGTCCACCACGAAGTCCACCACCAAGTTAAGATGGTGGATATCATTATCAAGTTTATGTAGTGTATGAATTATCGATTGTAATAAGTTTATGTGGTTTATGTGGTTTATTGATTGTCGTTTGTATTAAGTTTATGTACTTTATTAATTGTCGTGTGTATTAAATTTATGACTTATTAATTATTGTTTCTATTAATCTAGATTCCTTCAATATTTATTGTACTTATTATTCCACACTTTGATGTAGAATAGAAGCCTTCAATAATTCAACCTCCATTCAATAATTTATTCAACGTACTAAACAAAAGACTTTGCACAAGAAGACACTTAAATTTATTACTAGAAAATACCAATATAGTACACTTAAAATTATTACATAAAATAACAACATAGCACACTTCAATTTAACACAAGAACACATTAAAATATCAACATCATCAACGTTCACCTTCTCGGCGCCATACATGCTCAACCAAATCCTTGCGGAGTGTGTCATGATCTTGAGGAGCTTGAATTCTATTTAAATGTCTTATATGCTCACTCAATGTGACCCTATCCTGTCGGGTCTCATATATGGTTGCAGCGAGATATTCAACATCTCTTGCCATAGCTCTTACATGTGTTGGTTGGTCATCATCCACATCTTCGTCTGAATCTTCTTCAATTTTGATATACTCATTTTCCACAATCATGTTGTACAAAATTATGCACGTCATCATGATTGAATGGAGGTATTCGGTACGCCAAAGTCGTGCATGCCCTCTAACAATGGCACATCGAGCTTGTAGGATCCCGAACGCTCTCTCCACATTCTTCCTATAAGACTCTTGCCTCTACGAAACTTTTGACAAAGGAAGAACAACTAGGATAAATACCATCAATTAAGTAGTAACCTGGCTCATACTTATTACCATTTATCTTGTACCGAAATTCTGCTGCCTCATCCATTAACAACATCATCGAACAGAAGAGTAGACCAAAGAACATTGATATCATTGTTTGATCCAGGAGCGCCGAAGAATGCATGCCAAATCTAAGTGTCGTAAAGAACATTGATATCGTTGTTTGATCCAGGAGCGCCGAAGAATGCATGCCAAATCTAAGTGTCGTAAAACGCCACAGCCTCGAGCACGATGATTGGCTTGTTATGACGACCTTTGAATTGGCTAGCCCAAGTAGTAAGACAATTATTCCACTCCCAATGCATACAATCGAGACTTCCTATCATGCCAAGGAAGCCTCTTTTGTCTTCCTTGCATAGAAGCCTCTTCAAGTTTTCATGATTTGGCTTGCGAAGGTATGTGGCTCCATACATGGCTTCAATTGCCTTACATAAGCGCTTAAGGTTCTCAATAGCAGTAGTTTCTGCAAATTAGCAGTACTTGTCAGTTGAGTCTGCAGAGCACCCATTAGCTAGCATCCGAAAAGCATATGTGAGCTTCTGATGAGGTGATAGACTTTTTCAGCCTACGACATCTATCTTCCTTGCAAAGTAGTGGTCATGATTGACAGCTGCGTTCAAGATGCTTTCAAAAAAGCTCTATTCTCATCCAAAACCGCCTTCGAAAATCATGAGCAGGAAATCTTGGACGCTCGATGAAATAATCTTTCATCATTTGGTCAAGACACTCTTCTCTATCACGCTGCACAAATGAACGCCCTGTGACAGAACCACAATAGCTAGATTCGGCATGGTGCTCATATTGCATAAACGAGTTTGCAAGTTTAGCTTTTGCGTTGATCATTTCTGCATCCTCAATGTCAAGGCTTGCTTGGTATTGTGTCATCTACATTGCACTGCCACGCCTTGTTCTATCACCCATTGATGAGATATTGAGGATTTTTAGGAAACAATAACACTTTGAAAGTTGAAAGATTGGTGAATATAGAGGATGATTGAAGGTTGAAAGGTTGTGTGATCAACTGATATTCAACCTGTGTTTATATAGAAGATGATTGAAGGTTTCAATTTCATGTGTGTAGGTTTATGTTTCATGCGTTTCATGTGTTTTGTAGGTATTTTGTATGTGTTTCGTGTGTGTCCTGTGTTTCACATGTGTTCTGTGTGTGCTTCATCTTTATCATGTGTTTTGTATGTATTTTGTATGTGTTTCGTGTGTGTCATGTGTTTTGCATGTGTTCTGTGTGTGCTTCATCTCTATCATGTGTTTTGTATGTGTTTCACATGTGTTCTGTGTGTCTTGAGTATTTTATGTATTTTGTGTTTATACATCTTTATCATGATTTTCATATTCTTCCATAGTGTTTCATGAGTTTCATATATCGATTTAGTAATTTTTCAATATTTATCGAAATTTAAATATTATTAGATTAAAATGTTCATAAAATTAATTTACAATAGTCTACATAATTTTTTTTTAAAAGTAAATTTAAGAAAAAAATTAGCCTAAGTTCATTCTTTAATAATCATGGGCTAAAATTTTAGGCCAGAAGGGTTGGAGCAGAAAAACTGTTTTTGGGCTAAAAAATTTGGCTTTTAGCCCAAGGGTTGGAGATGATCTTAGGGTTCCTTAGATTTTGGCTCTTACTATTTTTAGAATTTAGGGCTAAAGTCATATTTAGTTTACTCATGTGATGAGAGAGAGAGAGAGAGAGAGATGTAAAGTCATTCTTGAGGATTTAAGCTAATTGTATAATAGCTATTTATAATGATTGTTTTGGTCGAAGAGCCATTTATATTGATTTGAAACGAACTTATAACGTTTTACTTACAAGTGGTGAAAATTTTTGCTAAATCATAGTGCAAGTGATTGAATCATGAGTATGAGTTGGTGGAGCAATTTATCAGCTTATTTTGATTATTTATATTATGACTGGTTTACTAATACGTAATTAGAATGAGATGAATTGAATTGAGGATGAGTTGTAATTCGAATGAGTCAGAACTGGTTTCCTATTGAAGTTGTTTGCTAAAGTGTTTTGGATTTGGAGAATGAATCGTAATTAATTTCATATAAGTTTTTACTAATCTACTTGAATTAGAACTGAAACTAATATGCTTACTAAAATACTCGCCCTAAATTAACAATTTTATTTACTAATTAATATAAAAAAATCAAATACACTTTTCTACCAATATTAAAAATACTACAATGTACATTAAAACCTTTTTTTAGAATTTTAATTATTCCAATATTTTTATTTTAAATGTGACATCCTACATCGCCCAGGGGAGTGATTCTTATATGTATATTCCTATCTCTACCTAGCACAATGCCTTTTGGGAGCTCACTAGCTTCGGGTTCCATCAGAACTCCGAAGTTAAGCGAGAAGGAGGCTAGAGCAATCCCATGATGGGTGACCTACTGGGAAGTTGCTCGTGAGTTCCCAAAAATAAAACTGTGAGGGAATGGTAAGCCCAAAGCGGACAATATCGTGCTACGGTGGTGAAGCGGGCCCGAGAGGTGATTCGCCCTGGGCTGGGATATGACAATTTGGTATCAAAGCCTAACCCTGGCCGCGTGTGTGCCGACGAGGACGTCGGGCCCTTAAGGGGGGTGGATTGTGACATCCCTCATCGCCCAGGGGAGTGATCCTTATATGTATATTCCTATCTTTACCTAGCACGAGACTTTTTGGGAGCTCACTGACTTCGGGTTCCGTCGGAACTCCGAAGTTAAGCGAGAAGGGGGCTAGAGCATTCTCATGATGGGTGACCCACTGGGAAGTTGCTCGTGAGTTCCCAAAAACCAAACCGTGAGGGAATAGTAAGCTCAAAACGAACAATATTGTGCTACGGTGGTGAAGCGGGCCCGGAAGATGATCCATCACGGACCGGGATGTGACATTAAAAGAACTTTCATTCTTATTATTTTATTTTATATATTTAAGAGTAAAAAAACTCATAAAAAAAGAATTTTACATATTCCTTTTAAGGGAAACATAAAGCGGTTGACACCTTTTATGCTCTCCACCCATTTCTTCAACTTTATTTTTCATGGACATCATCAGCTCCAACCCCAATGTCCACCTCAAGTTTATTTTCCTTGACACCCCAAGCATCCCTCCCTCTCAAAGAAAATGCAAAGTAATGACACTTATAAGAGATAAAATTTTCATCCGAAAAATATTACGGATAGATAAAATTTTATAAATAAGTTTATAATAGTTTATGAATTTTTAATAGAAATTTTAAACCAATTAATAATCAAGTTATTTGACTATACCTAATAATCGGTGACTCACGAAATTAGATTTATATCACGTTTTCTATTGAGGAAAAACCTCACACTCTGACTCAGCTTCCGCTCTCTCTCTAGTATTCAAATCGACAGAGACGGAGGCGAGAGATAGAGAGAGAAAAGGAAGAGAGAGAGCGAGGGTTCCAGTGTTTGTTCAGAGAGAGAGGAGGAGAGAGAGAGAGCTTTAGAGGTTGAGAGAGAGAAATGGAGAGCAGCGCCGTCCTTGGAGGTCTTCAGCTAAATTACCTTATTTGCCCCTCCCGCAAACCTTCTTCTTCTCTTCCCATCCGCCCCTTCTCCTTCACCTCCCATTCCTGTCCTCTCTCCCTCAAGGTACCCTCCTTCATCCTCCACTTTTTAATCTCAAATATATATACATACATATTGCTTTTATTTTAATTTTGATTTCGTTTTCAAATTGGGTTTTGCTCACTGTTTGTTTTGCAGCTCCAGAAGCAGCTTCCTTTGACTTCTCATGGAGCTTCCGCCGCCTCCTCTCCCATTCGCCCATATGCCACATTGTCCGATACATTCGTGTAAATCCTCTTCATTTCCATTTGGGTTTCTTTTAAATTTTGATATCGTTGTGAAAATGGTGAATTTGATTGATTTTTAACTCGTTGTTTGCTTTGATTATGTTGTTGTATCAAACTTTACATTAGTTAATCCCTGCTTTTAGATTTGATTGGATCCTTTTACGTAGTTTTGATTTGGTTAATGTGTTCTGTTTTACTTAGTTTTGATTTTGTTGTCCAATTCGTTTTTCGGGTTTATGTGATTAGATTTGCTATGTTTACATGTTATTGTTGGGCTCAGCAGTGAAACAAGCGAATTAGCTGGCATCGAATGGGACAACCTCGGCTTTGCGTTTCTTTCTACCGACTACATGTATGTTATGAAATGTGCTCAAGGCGGAAGCTTTTCCAAAGGTGAATTACAGCGTTTTGGGAACATCGAATTGAGCCCCTCAGCCGGAGTCTTGAATTATGGGCAGGTTAAATACTTAAAACTTTGCACCCTAATGCTATTTTTATTCAATATAAAGTTTTGTACTTTTGGATTCTTACTTTCATAGTAAATTATGGGTGCAAAACTTCAATGGGGGTTTCGGAGTTTATAATAGTCCATTGATGTGCCTACTATTGCACGAGATCTGTGTGCGATGTCTAAACATTGTTTGTTTGTTTGTTTTTTTTTTTTCTGATTTGGAGCATATATGATTATGTATACATTCTCTGTTTAATAGTGTACTGGCGTGGCGATCCATCGTTTCCTCATGTAGTTTTATTCGTTTATGACAGGGTTTATAACCCTAGGCTGTAGAAATTCCATGTAGGATTTATGTTTTAGGGTTTCACTCTCTTATTTGGATGTTAGCCCAAAGTTCGAGAGTTATACCCTTACACCTAAGCCCTAAATATGCACATTTTTAGTGTGTTCACTGTTTGAACTGCGCCATACGTTATGATGTTTCCTGTTTTAATTTTTATTTTTGACGCTTTGCATATAGAGTTGGATGAGCTATTAAAATGAATTAAATATAGCTTGTTTGCTATACAGCACACTTTGAACAAGTATCATATTCTGCACCAGTTTAGATGTTCTCTTAATTATTTTGGAGTTTGAGATAAATAGGAGTCTGAATCTTAAGGTATCAGGTTTAAATCTTAAGGTATTACCATGAACATGCTGAGCCTTGTAGCGCAGTCTTGTAGCTAAGCAAGGCATTAAAGTGATTGGTTTCATATATGGAGGATAACTCAAGAGGGTGAGATTCGTTATCTCCTCATGTTGAGGGCACACCCACCTCAAATAGGTGGTGATCCCAGAAACTTGAGGAATGCAGTTAAACTGAAAGAAAAGTTAGGGAAATAATTTAGTCGGACTTCTTGAATATTGACTAATCTCACTTTAATCTTTCTTTTGTTTATCTCTTTAGGGACTTTTTGAAGGTTTGAAAGCCTACAGGAAAGAAGATGGTACAATACTCTTGTTTCGTCCCGAGGAAAATGCATTGCGGATGAGGTTGGGTGCAGAGCGGATGTGTATGCCATCACCAACCGTCGAACAGTTTGTCGAAGCTGTAAAGGCTACTGTTTTAGCAAATAAACGTTGGGTAATATAAGCAGTCCTGTGATAAGAAATTTTCATTTTGAATGTTAGTATATGTAATGTTGTTCATGAGTTGTCAATCTCTCGTTTCAGGTTCCCCCTCCAGGCAAAGGTTCCCTATATATCAGGCCATTGCTAATGGGAAGTGGTGCTGTTCTTGGTCTTGCACCTGCTCCTGAGTACACATTTCTTATTTATGTTTCACCCGTTGGAAACTATTTTAAGGTTTGTTGTTGTACTTGCATATTGCTACAAGGTGGAAAATGCCATGTCACTGGCCTTGGTTTTCAGGAATTTTATTCTAATTGATTTTGTTATACCAAGTTTAATATTGGCATTCTATTTTCACACGTAATGCAATTTGCTAACTAACGATTTATCTGAATTTAAAGAAAATTCAATATTGCTGATTGATTGTACAATATGATGTAGTCATGATTGGTACGAGCGTTTTGAAATCTTTTTAGTGAGTCATGGTCGTGAATACTGCAATTTACATTTAAGGTTTTATCATAGTGTTTGGTGCTTGAATGTATGATTCAATTAATTATAGGACAACACTTCTTGCTATTTTCATTGGGTATGCGGTTTTTTCTCATTAATTTTAGCTTCAACGTTCTTGTCTTATTCCATTTTTTTAATGTAAATGGTAGTTGTTTTTATGTGGTTTTACCCTTTTGTAATTTTTTTGTCCTCTAATTCTTTGCTAGTTTTGTTGCATTTCTACCTACAAATATTCAGTGTCTTATATCTATATATCTGGTGGCAGGAAGGCGTTGCACCAATAAATTTGATTGTCGAACATGAATTGCATCGTGCAACTCCCGGTGGTACTGGAGGGGTCAAGACTATAGGGAATTATGCCGCTGTAAGCTAGTGCTTCTCTTATTCTTTAGTTCTTAATTACCTGAATCTTGGCCAAATTCATCTTTGCAAATTATTAGTTGTCTGCTTCTAGAACTATGGTCTGGCTTTTCTTGGTGTGAGGTTATAAAACTGTGACCTAATGTTTCCCTGTGCATATGGTTCTTCTTTAGTGCGTCAAGAACTAAAAGCAACAACCCTTTTACTTTCATAGATGTTAATTGCAAAGTGATCACTTACACTTTTATTCTCTCTTTAAATATGAGGCTCCGGCTGTATCCATCAATGAAAATCAAATATTTATTCTTTAGTGAATTAAGTCAAATGACTGAATAAAGAGTCATTCCAACCATTTTCCTGCGGTTTAGTGCTTCTAAATGTTTATCATTTTACTTTGTTAAACTTAAAAGTTAAAACTATAGTATGTAGCTGCTGACCTGTTAAACTTCTAATGTTAAATCGTTTATCTGTAGGTTTTGAAGGCACAGTCTGCCGCAAAAGCAAAAGGCTATTCAGATGTTTTATACCTCGACTGTGTTCACAAAAGATATCTAGAGGAGGTTTCCTCGTGCAATATTTTTGTTGTGAAGGTAATGTGACTGGAATTTAGTGGGTGCACGTCTTATTTGATTTGTTATTATTATTTACACAATATGTTACTATTGATTATTGGCTGCCTAGATATTTCCCTACTCTATGTGCTATGTTTTCATTGTGTTTGTGAGTTCACAAAATGGCATGCTGAATAAAACCATCCACCTGCACTTGCTGCAATCTGGATCCTCATGCCACCACTAGTACAAATGCAGCAGTATGCCAGTATCCAAGCCCGAACTTTTTTTTTTAAGAACCTTACCAAATATCTGTATCACTTGGCATGTCTGATAACCTTAAGCACTGAAATCGACTTATAGAATTGCAACCTTTCCTGAATACCATTACCATTACAATGGATGCTGTAGCATTGCATCATTGCTGTGTCTCATAATCAAAGAAGAATTTTTTACCCCCTTTAGGTTCTGGGACAAGTTCTAGTGTAATTCAATGCAGCCTAGTGCTTTCAAGATTAGCCAATTGGTGTCTAATATGATTATTAATGAATTTGCTTATTTGGAGATGGTCTGTTGTTTGCTCTCCCATATTCAAGTACATTCTTTTTGTGGAACTTAATGTTTGTTGCAACAAAGGCCCCTGCATCTTGCTTGTCATTTGTACTTTCATTAAGCATATGTGTCTTACGTTTTCGTTTGAGGTGGTCGCACCTAATTTATCCATGTTTATTGTTTTCCTAGGATAATGTTATCTCTACTCCTGCAATAAAAGGGACAATCTTACCTGGCATTACTCGAAAGAGTATAATTGATGTTGCTCGTAGTGAAGGATTGCAGGTACGTATATGGTACTTATCAATCGGTATGATAGTAATGTATGATCAGAGAGTTGGGGATGGGGAAGACATTTCTTGGTGTTCATTTGTTATTGACCTTTTATTTTTGGTGTTTAGATAGTGCAAGGCATACACTACTAGTTATGGAGCTAAAATAATAGCTTGATGTTTTATTCAATAACTTCATTACTGAATTCATCTTGTAATGTGCAGGTTGAGGAGCGCCAAGTGGCAGTGGAGGATTTACTTGATGCTGATGAAGTCTTTTGTACCGGAACAGCTGTGGTTGTATCACCTGTTGGCAGCATAACGTATCTTGGAAAAAGGTAAGTTTTGTTTGTCTAGCAAAAGTTTCAGAGAAAGAAAACAATTTTTTTCATTTTCTTTGTTGGCCTGCAAAGCAAGTTTTTCTTTGTCCATCAACAAAACGGTAAAAAAGTGTTAACATTTTGAAATGTTTCCTCAAAATGGGAAGCGGAGATTTCTTCTTTGGCTTTTTCTTGTTTGCGGGTGAAGAAATTAACGTAATCTTTGATTATGTCATCCTCTTATAAGTGGAAAATTGCCCTCTAAATTAAACTCTGGCTGAAAGTAGATTCCGTGTAAAATGTGTCTTCAGTAGCACTCCTGCTTATAAAAATAGAAGATTGGGTTTAGGTGGGATCATCCATACCACATTCAAAGAAACATAATTGTGAACTTTTTCTTGTGCAGGGTTTGTTATGGAGATGGTTTTGGAGCTGTGTCGGAAAAGCTCTACTCTGTGCTTACCAGATTACAGATGGGTCTTTCCGAGGACAAGATGGATTGGACTGTTGAGCTAAGGTAAAGCATACTGAAGTGAATTCAACTCAGCAATCTCGCTATAGGTGCTGCAAACCAGTCAGTCCCAGTTATATCTTGCTTGGTTCTGTTATTTTCTTATTTCCTAAGTTTGTAGAAAGTTGGTTCTTGAACCGGTATTTGGCGTTTCGTTAGAATTTCTTGTGTGCGTCACTAACCTCAATATCTACATATTGGTTTTTGTTGTGTGCTGGTAAATTCAGCATCGAAAGATAATAAACTGCCGCATTATGGTAAGTCTAGATTTCTACATGGAAATTACTTCAATTACTATCTTTCATTAAGTTAGTTTAATTATTCCGTTGTTCATTTTTCCAATTGTGAGAGCTAAATTAGTTCCAGTCACGGAAGTAACAATGGCTGCTACCTGAGGCACCAACGCTTCTGCTGTAGAGGTGTCCCATGATGGTGCCTCTAAGCGCAAGGCATTGGCGGCACCTTGGAAGGGCATGGCGGAGGGGTAGGAAACTAGAGGGCTTCTCTAAAAGTTTCTACCCCAGGTCTTATTCAGTGGTATAAATTAACGAGCATTTGCCAAAACCATAAAACCAGAACTCTCATAGTGACCAAAATTTTCCTTTTTAACAAGCGAGTATTTGAGACGGGAATCGATCTCATGATTTTGGATGAAGAATTAATGCTCTAATTACTTGAGTTACGAGCTCCTTGCAACTTTGTCTGAACTTCAGAACAACGACCGCCTTTTAAACCGTTGCTTCGGATGATTGTCTTAGTGTATCCAAACTGGATCCTAATTCTTTTGTGTTGACATTGGTTTTTTTTTTTCAGGACACGTTCAATGTCTTAGATTCTTTAGATATAATTTGACAGAGCCCTAACATTTTGCAGTCGCGGACACCTTGCTCTAGCTTGGGGCCGGTGGTAGCCCCTTTCCTACTCTTTCTCCCGCCAGTCTCTTGCTCCCCTCACTCGTGTGGCTCGTCTCTCCACCCCTTAACCCCTTCACACCTCACCTCCCTTCCTCCTCCGTTCTCCATGGCTGCGCCCACGAGGCCCTCTAATCATAACCTGCGTGGCCCTCTAATCGTAACCTGCGTCTGCCCGTTCCTATTCTCTTTTCCACCATTTTGCGAACAACCTTCTAAGTTGGACGGAGTAATCTTCTCAAACGCTCCTGTGCCTTAGAACTGGACTAGATCCATGGCTGTGGGTCAGATTTGCGGTTGTGGTTGGTCGGATCTACCTCTTATTACCCAATTTCCATGGTGTTTGAGCGCTAATCAGCCAACCCGTGGTTGTCCCGCCTTACTTGGCCAAATCTGTAGCTTTGTTGTCCTTGTGAAGGAGACGAGTTGATTGGTGGTCCTTTCTCGGATTAGGTAGTTTTTTTTTTTTTCTTTCCAAATTTTGAGCTTTATTTATGTTGTGTTTGTGCCGCATAGTGGGGTTGTGTAGCTCCGGCCACCTGTTGTGGCCTCGTTGTCTAAGTTGTGACTGTGATCGTCTAAAAAGATAACATCCCTCTAACTATCAATAGAAATCTCAAAAGATATTATTTGTGTATTTTCATGTCGCCCCATTCAATCGAAGCCAATTCTCAGGAGTGTCCACAATTAACACTTTACGTGTTCCGTTATGCTATGCACTACAAGAACAAATGTAGCTAGCTCCTTTTCCTTGACTTTGGATCTTAGCATCCTAGATTTGGAGTTTTCTTAAGGTTGGTAAAGCAAAATGTGCTACCCTAGCCCATTGAGTGCTCTACCTTGAGCTATTCATATCATATGCTCTATTGCCGTTGCATCATAAGATGGTTCTTAATCTCTAAAGTTAAGGTTAAACCAAGGATCGTGCAATATTATTGCATGTGACATGCCAAGATCAAAAGCGTAGCGTAAATGAGTTTCCTCGTGATTATTGACCATCCTTCTTCCTAAATTACTATGAAGTGATTTTTCCACATATATTCACCTTCCCCTCTTTTTAATTCGAGCTTTTAATATTATATTTGTTTGATCCAATGACGAAAAAGAAAGAACGTGGAAGATGTTAAAAAGGATTTTCATAAATCAGTCCCGTTACAGGGAAAATTCAACTCAATTAGTCAAAACGATGGCTTCTGCAAAATTTGTTATTTTGGAAAACACCATATATTGGAGTCCTTTTCAACTCCAGCAATCTGCTGTATTTGTCGTTTTTGCACGAGTCAAATTGCTTTCCAGTTTCCACTGAATGGAAGATTTTAGCGTCCCCAGACCTAACACAATCTCCGGGTTATCGACATGCAAAAGCTAAAACACTAACCTTCAAAAGTAAATGCTAAAATATACGTAAAGTTTATCTGCATCTTTGTCTTATCTATTTTTTCAATGCCTCTGCACCCTCTCTTCCTCCTCCCCGAAAGAACAAGGAAGAAACCGCGTTGCTGCCTTCGTTTTTTTAATGGAAAGTAAAGCAAGGCAAAGTTGAGCAGACCAATATGATTTTCGTAAGAGAAAGGTTCAATTGCTTTCTTCTTAGAAAGTTTTTTGTTGCAGTCAATTATGGGAATGCTTCCCTCCTCCGATCCCCCTTGTCACAACACTCACAAAGCATTCCAGATCTGTCGCTGTCCGGCGTTGTCGTCATTACAGAAATTATGATCGCACAGATTTTTTCTCAAATTTTTTTCTATTTTTACTGTTCAAGTTTGTATTTAGAAGATGCTATTTATTAGTAGACTGCAACAAAGTCGGTGTCATGCGTTGGAAATTTTCACAAAACACAAGGGGGGAACTACTTTTGAATTTCTTTTTTATACAAAGTGGATCATAAATACTCTTAACCACTTAAGTTACAAGCCCTTTACATTTTTTTTATTTTATTAAATTATAAGAAAACTTTCGGATATAATTAACTAGGGATGCTGTACCCAAAAATATACAGTTCCCAAGCTTAGTATCAGTGTAACGCATATCATAAAATCATATGTAATAGTTAAACTGTAGTTTTCGTGTTTCAAAAAAAATTAAATCTGTTTCTAGCCCCTTGTGCGGATCAGTATTCATCCTTCCTTTGAAGTGATAAAATCCTTGCATATATAGAAAGTTCAACTTCTAGAAGTCCATTTTTAGATTAACTTTCCATGCATGGGCAATTAGCAGGGTCAATGTGTGATCAGTGCAGTCTAAGGCTGTCGGTCTTCAGAATCCAAAGTTTTATAGACACTTCATCGGATGAGTACCCAAGTTTTATCTATTTGGTTGTGAGTTTTAAAGACAAGTGTTGAACAATTATTGGACCACCTAATAAGTCAGTAAAAATTGAGTACTGACACCTTACCCAAGTATTACCCAAGTATTGACCCATCACTTCTCTTCGGTCTTTATCTTTCTTCTCCATTTCTTTGTTTACCCATTTCCCCTCTTTTTTATCTCTTCTAACCCCACCCTTTTTTGTGGTTTATTAACCCATTTCTCTTCTTGTTTTTTTCCCCTTTTTCTTTTTTTTTTATATCTTTTAAGACACCTATCGTATTTATCTTAAACTCTCATATTATTTATAAATATTGTATTACTTTTTAAAAACAATGTAAATATTGTTTAACGCTTATTTTCGATAATTTAAATCCATCTAGGCTCCTGTCTAGATCTCGCCTAGGCACCTAGGTGCTATGTCCCAGTCCGCTGTTTGACTATCGCCTAACATTTTTTAGGTTATCCTAGCCAATTTAAGCTTCTTACATTGGCTTTGATATTATTGCTTACAGCCGTTTTGATGGAGAGATTATTTTCTGTTATGAATATTGACTCAAAACTTTGCACTCTTCAATGTGAAGGCAACTGCTTCGATTGAACCTTATACTCTTTTGAATTTCGCCCCTCTCCTCGGCAAATCCTGACTTTGCCATTGCTCCAACTACTGAATTGAGGATTTCTAGGTTACTTTTTAGATATTCATATCTTCTTCCACTTCTATTCGTCGTTTTATTTACAATATGATTTAATTATATGAAAAAAAAGAATAATACTTTGGTTTAGAGGCAAGAAGATACATGCATGGCGTCTAAACTCCAAATTAAATTTTTAGTGGACTACAGTAGACAGTACTTCTAGAAACAAATTAAACGAGAAAAAACAGGACAATCCATGTTTATAATAGAATTTAGGAGAAATTAGATTCTCTTCCCTCTTTTTACTATTTCATTGATTAAAACCTTATTCCATTTCAATTTTTTATCAAGGTCCTTAGGTTTTAATAAATGTCATTAATTATTTCAATAAATAAAATATTTTTTTATTTCTAAATATATTTATTTAGTGTTAGAAATGTTACATTTGAAATATTTATTTTTATGACTAAATTTTTTTTGATATATATTTTTTTAGTTTGTACCCATTTTCAATTGCAACCCTTTTTAAATTTGTACCAATTCTATTTTCATCTCTAATTTGTACCCATATATTAATTTCTTTTTATGCCCATATTTTTTAAAGCTTTATTTGTATTATTTGTACCCATTTTTATTTTTGCTAAGTGCACCCATGCTAATTATATGTATTTATTTTATGTTTTAAAATCTATCATTAGTTATTTTGTAAAATGTGTTAATAATTATGTGGGTACATTATTTTTTTGCTATAATTTTATGAAGAACAATATTACTCCAATATTTATTTTTAAGTATTTATTATATTTTAAAAATATTATTTGAATTTTTTTAAATTTCATAATTTGTGGGACATTAAATGTATAAATGCATAAGTAAAGTCCCTTAAATGATGTTAAGGACCTCGATCAATATATGTAACTAAACAAGGTTTTAATGTAATAATTAGGTTGATCAGAGATTAGAACCAAAATGACCCTAGAATTTATTCTCAGACTAAATTGATATTCTCCTATATATATAGAATTCTCTCTCTCAGTGCAAAGTCCAATGGTGGGAACCTTATATGCATTCACTTCCATTAGAAGCAAACCAATTTCAAAGCAGTATTAGAGCACAAATTAAAATCCCCTTCATTCGTCCAAGGAGAAAACAAGGTGTTTTAAAACAATACTAGCTAAAAATCAGAGTATGCTAAACATATGAGCAAACGGACTACAAAATTACGAATATTATTTAACTAACTAAAAATAAAGAAATGTTACAAAATTTCTAAGAAAGCAACATAACCTGAAGAGATTACATCTTTCTAGACTTATTTCTACATGAGTTACGTACATCTTATTTACTAACCCTAATTCTAATAGGCAAGGAACCCAAACCCTCATCCTACAAATAAACTCCCAAATAATAATAAACTAAAAAACCTAACTAATTA